TCATGGCGCATGAATACAATAACTTTGCTGCAGTCTCTGTGAGTGGAGGACATAAAGCACTCATATCCTGACAGCTTGATTGAAGCACACAGGTTGGGTTCACAAATCACAATAATGGGGAAGCGGTTCACAAATACAAATTGTCTAAAGTCAGACATGCGCGATTTCAGTCCTCTGGCGTTCCACTGAAAGACAGATGCATTCTTGACTTCCGCTCGAAACGACGGTGCCTCGCTGGCCATGGTTTTACCTTAGAGCTGCAAGCACCGGACTCAGGGTGTCCAGCACATGCAGTGCGGTCTGCGCAGCAGAAGTCTTCATATTACTCAGTAGGACACGCATGGTACTCATCAGCGATTGCAGCAAGCTTATCACTTGATCTTCATTCATCGCATCACTGGTTTGAGGGGTCGTCGAGGGCGGCGGGATTTGATGCAGCTTCGCAGTAGGTTGACGTCGTGGAAGAGAGGGCCACTGTTCGGAAGGCGCGACTTCTGTCCCTTTCTTCTGTTTGGCAGTATCCGTCTTCAGTGAGCTCGGTGTTTGTGGGTCAGCCTCTTTGATAGAGGATGACATCTCTCTATCGGTAGAGGCGTTTTTCCGTGATGGTCTTCGCCCACGACGCCGTCGTCGGCGTAGTGTAGCGGCAGCTTCCCTGTGCGTTGAATTGTCCCGCACCATACGCCTGAGTACCGCGTGCTCGTTTCGCACCCGCGGGCAATCTTTGGATGAGGCCTCATGAGCGCCGTGGCAGTTTGGACATCGTAGTATGGTGGCACTGCAGGCGTCTTTTGAGTGAGACTCAGCGCACCGCGGACAGACAACTTTGTTCTCACAGACACCTTTTACGTGTCCCATCTTGAAGCACTTGTAGCATTGCAGTGGCTTCGGTATGTAAGGACGCACTGAGTGGCGAACATGGCCAACTTTGACATACGAGGGAAGGCTGTCTCCCTCGAACACAAGCCTCAAGCAGCGTGAGTTGCCGAGTCTGGTAATGTGCGTAATGCGGGTGCCTTCAGTCGCTGGCTTTATTAGTATTGGCAGGTCATTAGCTGAGATGGAAAGATCCACATCATAAATGACGCAAACAGTGCCATTACAACCTGTAGCGACCATTGGCCGAACTTTCACGTTGCCGATTTCTGTTATGTGCCGAAGGCTTTGCAGTGCGCTACGGTGCATAATGTCTACAGCAAGGACATTCTTTCGTGCATTGATCCTCACGTCTTTGATCTCATTCGGCGCGGTTTCCTCGAGAAGCACAGAAAGAACTTGCCTGTTGAGGAGTCGCAAGTTAGATGCAGGGTCTTCAGGCATAAACAGCATGGTGTGCGGCCACCGCTGTGGTGCAGTCTTAACGGTGGAAACACTTGCCGACGATGCAGTCCGCAGCAGTCTTCGTTTTGTAGATCGATTCATGACGACCATGAAGTCATCATCCGACGACTCAAAGCCATCCGAATACAAATTGGTTGCCTCACAGTCGGTGTCACTCGACGCGTTGCTACGCTTCCTGGAGGACGAAGTCCGGCACGACGGTTGCACGCCTGCAACATTCTCAGGTGTGTCCTGAAGCATCACCGCAAAGGAGGGAGCGGCAGCTCCCAGGATTTCCAGGAAAACAAAGTGAAAACACTGAGACACGGGCACAAGCGTTCTGTGAGAGAATCCTAAGGCTTCCAACTTGTTACTAAAGGGCGGAGTCATTAGTTGTCATCTTTTAACGCAGCCACAGCATTATTAAAGCGTGCGGTTCCGTAGGCGCGCACATTGTTTCACTAACATGAAGTCTGTGCGTTGCTTCATTGCAGAGTGATTATAAACGTTGCGTAACTGATACTTTGTTGCTCTAATTTACCTGGTCGCCCCGAGACCCCGTTTGCACTAAAGTTCAAAGCAGGGGACAGTGGCAAAGCTATCTAAAAATCCACTTGACTTCTCCCCCTAAGCGGGCGGAAAACCAGACGCCGTGTCCCGTGGCTCTCGGGCTGATCTTTGAAGTCGAGGACTCAGATTCATCGGAAAGCACGGTATTTGACCGTCGCTAGCTGTGCTGACGCTAGTAGCCCGAAAAATCTTGTTCTCATGATGTCGTCACCAAATTACATCAACAAAAGTGACACATTCCCAAAACTTGTAACGCAGTCTCTTTATGTATTTGGGCCAAAGGTGCGATGATCCCAGAGTCACCTGCTGATGTGAAGAAAGTTTGCACTGCATTCAATAGCGGGACCAGTATAAAACCACGTAGTGCGCTGAGAGATTTCAGAGGATGGTGGAGGGTATCGGTGCAATCTGCTGACAAGGAAAATACGATAGCTTTTGTTTGCCAGGCATATCAGGTGATTGCATAAAAGACCGAGCGCATACTTCATCAAGACGATAGATGGATGCCTTTATGGTTCGCGGGAATCACGCTTTAGCTGTAGTAATGTATAAACGCGAGATGTGAACATCCGGCAGCAAATTCAGAACGACGACCGGAAAGTAGGGTTTGAATTTCAGCGACAAAATCGCAAGAAACATGGGCTGCATGTCAAAACTCAAAGCCCCCGAAAGGACTCCTCCATCGAGAGCCTCATTTGGCTGAGGATAACTCGAAAGACATGCATTAGCAACACAGCAATGCTCTGGGTGCCTCCACAATAATCGCTTCATTACGTGGAAACTTGGGCAAGTTGGTAGGACATAACTGAATGCAGGAACAGTGCAACCAAGAATAAGTTACTTCGTAATTACGGAAGTGAAAAAAAAAACAAGGTCAGAAAAGAGCGCTTTTTTCGCTTCCATCGTTACGAAGTAACCACTTCTAGGTGGTGCTGTTCCTGTATTCGCTTCAATACAGGACAGCAAATTTATAGCCATCGCTACAAAGCTGTCCACTTTCACCGTTTCTGCCAGCGTTTTGTGAAATAAATTTCATGAGGCCAAAGCCATTTTTTCGATATGTTATGCATGTAAAACGAAAAACAAATGCGAGAAAAAGATTTCGGAAGGAGACAAGATGGCTAGCAATCAATTTATTTGCTAACCAATATTCTACAGACGTGTTGAAGGTGGCGCAGTCTGCGGCAGAACAAATGGTAAATTCTTAAACAACCAAAAAAAATCAGTACCACCCTCGTTGGAGGTTTCTCCTTTCTGCTGGTTGTCAGCTGTGAATGCGGCGTAACAGAGTTTACAACGTATTTTAAAGCCTGGCCTCCAGCTTACGCTGTACTGTACTGTCGGTTTCCAGCAGGTCTAGTGAAGTTTTTTCTTCTGAGGTGGCACACTCTCCGTTGTAACGTATGTGCTGGACAGATGGATGTGCTGAAAATCAGTCGAGAACGCATTATACTGTTGTATCTATTCTTAATATTCGACTATGTTATGTTTGCCATATACAAAAGTCTAATCGTGCGGCCACACAGGTTGCGGTGTTGACCCAGAAGCTGTAACGAGCACCTACTAAAAGACGAGCAAAGTGACATTGGTTCTCTAATTCAGTTACTAATAAGGTAGGTCACTAACTTCAAAAAAAAGTTATACAGTTTCTTTGAAAAAGTTATAATTGTGGTTTTGACTCTTATGTCATATGTAAAGTTAAGTTTGCAATATTGAAACTGCTTAAATGAAAAAAAAACTAACACTGCGAAAATTAAATATGCCACAATATTTGTGTTGCGTGAACAGTCATCACTGCAAGATGATTGGCGTGATTCAAAGGCGACATGGCATGTGTGTAGTGACGGCACTAACACACCTAACCTCAACAAACACCACATCTCTAAGCTATGGCATGGTATCGAAAAAAGACTGAAAAGTTACTATTCGACACAATTAATAGTGTTGTTTTTATCCAAATTGGCCAGTGTACAGAAAGTTCCGGTTAGTTTATAATAATTCTGCTTGAATGCGCAGTTTTACGCATATAAAGTAACAAAAGTTTTTTGGGAACACATCTATAATAAATACAGTTATCAGTGTCAGTGTAAGTGTAGCAAGCAAAAACTCAGGCTTTGAGAAAAACGCTTTCAAAGATTTCACTCGAATATTGACATAACAGAAAACGGCCATTATCTTTGAAATTCACCAATAATATTGCTTCGGACATACACTGAAGGGTCACATTCTCAATTTCATTGAGCGGAAGCATATAATTTTTTTTTCTAGCTCGTGTTGCCTCTCCAGCTGACGCTCAATCACGTGCGATAAAGCAGGTCCAGGCTTGATATAATCATTTGACAACTTGCTTTGATGCTTCTTTTTGTCCTACACTTCGCCAAACCTATTTCGCGGAGTGCTGTATCTTTATCTTCTAAAGACCACAACTAAGTCCAAGAGGTGAAAGTAGTGTGCCAAAAAGTGCAGATAGCCGAGTAAAAGCAAGCGCAACTTAAACAACTGAATGCTGTATACGTAGAGTAGACATTTGAAAATAAGTCGACAAGATCATGTCTCACAAGGTTTGAAACTTACCTAGGGAATTCAGCATTACGTAATACGCGTAACAAAAAAAAAAAACACTAATGACAATATTGCAGGTGTTGTGCATTTCAGAAACCTTATACGTTTCTGTTTCGAGCTCATCCAAGGAGGGGGGGGGGCGGGCTGATACGATGGTCAGAACTTTCGAACGGCTTCAGATAATTTCATCTTTCATTTTCTTAAATATTCCTAAATAATCAAAGATTGCGAAAACGCTTTTTAAAAGGTGATTTTTCAGAACTTTGGATTTTTGAGAAGGCAACCTAACGTAAATGATGAAGTTATCTCTGATGATGATTCAACAAAGATATTGCATAGAGATCCAACACGATAACCAGATAGAGAAAAGTTACATATTTACAAAAAAAAATGTCGACGCTGACTTAGAGATGTGTTACTTCTTATGAAACAACAAAACAGCAAGCAATTTCACAGTTTCAACTTTACTTCTTGGACAAACTGACATCTCCATCTGCAGTGGCATAGCGCCTGTAGAATCTGCGAAACACAAGTGTCTTCTCGCGCCTTTACCGGAGTTGCAGTTTCAGACGCAATTTCTCGTCCATATTCGGTTTGAGTTTAAGTCGGAACTCATTATCCAGCAAAGAATGCAGATCACGGATATTGTCGACGACCCGACGTTCTTCCACTTCTCCGATTCCAGAGGACGTGCAGCGTCGGCGAGTGAAGCAGCGGTTGCGCAGAGTGAGCCACAAGTCTCCTTCATAACGGCTGACTGCTAAGACTTCTTGGAAGACGAGACCAGGATACGTGGCAAAGTACCACGATTTGTCCATAAAGTCCGGCCACTCGTGCGAGTAAGCGAAAACTTGATACAGTGGAAACCAGCGGGACCTTTGGCCATGTTCTTGTTGGCTGAGGATAGACACTTCAATAGGCTTTGCCCAATCGCTATCAAGTACGCGCAGACGATAGGGCGCTGCATCTCCGTGGAGAGGTAAGGCGCGGCGAGGACAAGGTCCTCCAAAGCCTACATCTACCAAGTACGGGGTTTCTTGGCCTTTGTTGTCGGATACATTAACGTAGAGCACCATGTGATCAACTGGCGCTGGCGGGACGTCCTCTGGAACTGCCCAGCGGATCCTGGCACAGCGAACCCGAACCTTATAATCGAGGGCCAGCAAGAGACGAGCGAACAGAGAGTTCAGTTCGAAGCAGTTGCCACCACGACGTTCCTTCACGACCTTGGAAAATACGGCGTCGGCAGTCAGAGGCTCGAAGTTGCCAAGGAACGTGTCGACTCCTTGAAAAGATATTCGCTCGAGGTGTGCTGAGATATATGAGTCGAGGCTTTGCAGGTCAGGCTTTACCGGTGCCGGTAGCTGAAGAAAGTCTAAGTACTGACTTGTCTGAGGAGGAGTCAAGGCTACGAGAGTGAAGTCGCCAAACTCCAGCGATTCTCTAGGAGTGTTTTTGCTCGCTTCGGCGTCTAGCGCCTGCCCATGGTCATGGTTGTCTACGGCAGAACCACCACATGTTGTCAGCGTTGCCATATCTGAGTCGACAAGCAGTTGCGTGCTTCCCTTGTGATTTTGTTTCACCTCTGATGCATGTGTATAGTATCCTCGCTGAAGCGGAGTGGGCTAACCGGCGTCGAACCTCATGTGTCACGATTGCCAGCAGCGGAAGTACAGCGAATAAGACCATGCGCTCGGCATAGTGTCAAGGTACATTCACTCGGCGGTCTAAATACGATGCACCTGTGATTCACAGCGGAAATGAGGCAGGCTTCAATATGAATTTTTTTTGCGTGCCTTGTGACCCATAGCAGTATGTGGCACTCAGTCCCATTTTAGTTAGCAATGAATGCTAATAGTCTTTTCTTTCTGAAGTTTCATTTTGGCACCTTAATAAAATCAATGCGTTGATTATGAATTACAGGTATGTTTGCGCATCCGCTATGGTGGATCAGTGGCTAAGGTGCTCGGCTGCTAACTTGAATGTCGTGGGTTCCATCCCGGCCATGTCAGTCGCATTTAGCTGGTGGTGAAGTTCTGTAGGCTTGTGTACTGTGCATTTTAAGTGCACATTAAAAAACATGAGATAATCAAAATGCCTTAGCCCTCCACAAAGGCTTCTCTCTTAATCATATTGTGCATTAGGGACGTAACACCTCAGATGATATTGTTGCTTACGTTTCCTCTTCTTGAGCCCTGCATATACATCGGTGATGCATATATGAACATATCCACAATTAGCCAACAATGTTTATTTGTTTATAAACACTGTGTCTGGAGAGGTCTTTGCGGTAATGAAGGCCGGGCCAGTTGCCATAGCTTTAGTACACAAATTGATTTATTTTCTTTTTTAATCACGTCTTGTGTGTTATTTTAATGAAGGTGAATGAAAGAAAAGAGCATGGGGACAAAACATGAATACTTTCTAATATCTGGCTTATCCTTCATATTACTGACAAGGATGTGATGCGCTCTCCGTCATAACCGCATGTCTCTGTGAGTCTTAATATACACTCTTAGGAAAACAATGCTACGTGTGATTACTTTTTGCTGGTACCGACCTGACACGTAAATGGACTCTTTAAATGAGCTATTGAACTTTCTTGTCAGTCTCACGACTCTCAAGAGTGTAATGACCCCCAAAGAGAGTTAATGTGCTTCAGTAAAAAACTCGTTTAAGTGGCAACTAAGAACTCTAGAAAAAGAGTAAAGAAACACTTTTGTTTTAGAGCGTGGATCATTTGATACAAAACATTGGCACGTACCTCCTCCATGCATCACGGACTGAAGCACCTGCATGGATATACATGGTTTTGAACGAATGGCGAGATTTCAGCTACATTTTTGAACCAATGTGCACCGATGCTTTTTTACGCTTACATTTATTTTCATGTTTTCATCCCTGCTGTTAACCTCGCCTTTCCGGTTTTTTATGTCACTGCAATGACACGATGACTTGTCGTGCAACGCTCTCTTCCAACTGCTCTTTTTTGTTTCACTTGAATATATAACGGACGTGCCATTACATAGTGCAAAAAAATATATGTGCGCCAATGGAAGTTTAAAGAAAAATGGCTGAAATGGAAGCTCTTGCAATCACTCGCCAGCAGACGTAAAGTCAGCTTTTTTCCCGCCAAGATGTTGCAAACACGCTCTTTGCCCACTTAGAGATCAAGTGCCTTTGATATGCTAGTGTTAATACTACGTTAATTTCATATTAAAAGATAGGTATTCCTTAATATCGTAAAGACACTACCTTGAATTAGAGGCTTACTAAGTAAAACTAGTAATATAAGACGCACTTGGAGCACTATGTCACCCGAAAATTTGTCACGTAAACTCATTGGGCGTGCGAGGGAAACGCTTCCATAAAGGCGTGGGGCATGTCGTGCGTTGTCGATTCGGGGTGTCAATCCCTTTGGGCGGACAGCGCAGAAGAAGCTCACTTGAACAACTAGTATTTTGCGTCACGATGTTCGTCTTGTGGCGTCGGCGCTGTGTGACCAGCTGCTTACTCACTTTAGAGAAGATTACAATGATCATGGTTCGGTACCTTACCGAACAGATTGAAACTCAGGATGAAGAAGCCTTCATAAGAATATCGCATACACATTTTTATGGAGTTCAGAATGAAAATATTGAATTTACTTTACTGCCGTTTTAACTAACTGGCAAGGACGAAAAAAAACTTGCTTCTCGTCGCACATAACATGTAAACCTGTTCCAACTTAGTGCCTCTTGCGTTTCCTTTTCGTTTTTTTTGAGAGACTGGTGATCCTTGAGAATATTGAAGTGTTGTGTGTTACATCGTGTCTAAGTTCTCTTGTTTGTACGTGTCACTGAAGTGATTTTGTTACACCAAACAGTTGCACTCACCTAAAGTATTGTTACCAGTTTGCAATAAATTTGCCTGTCTTAATCGCGGAACGATGCCTTTAGTAAGATGACCACCACAGTCCTCATCTTGACATAGCCACGGCTTCACTCTTGGATAATGATTTTCACTCCAAGTATTTTAAACCTCCACAACACGTGGTATAATCAGGTGAAATCTCGCCTAAATATAGATCATAGCTCTCCACCAATCCACAATGTCACTGGTGCTACAGATTTTGATGGACGTATTTGCTCGTTCATTGCCTGGTGCATAAAATGCCACCAACGTTCGGTTCACTTTTTGCTTGTCGCTCCTGTTACAAAACCTCGGCTGCGTCAGATTTTCATTGTGATACATCTGAAATTGTAATAAAATTGACTAAGATATAAAAGTCTTCATAAGCAACAAAACCTATAATTCTTTTTTCAAGACGTGTTTAAAACACCCTCTGTTCTTCCATACTGCGAATCGCGCGAATATCACACAGAATCATGCATAATCCCCACGTTCTTCTGTCGTACCTATTTCAAATATCTTCAAAAAGGACATTCATAGTGGACGTCGTTTTTTGTGAGAAGAAAGAGAAGATTGCGGTGGGAATTCAAAAGCGTTACACCACAAGCGAAGTATATGAAGCGAAACATCTAACATTTTTTGTTAATCTTTTCTGGTTCGTGAAAATGTAAAATGTCAACATGACCGAACCTTGAAGAATAGAGGCTTGGGGTGAGAAATTGTTGAATGGGCAATCTAACTGAAGTCAGTGTTTGTAAAGAAGTTTATTCAACAATTTAGCAATTCGTAAATCTGTTTAATACATTGACATGACTCTACCAAAGCGCTTAGCTAAGTTAGGAATATAATGAGGTGAAATTTGCTTTGGTCGTGCACCCATGCTAGCATAATTTCCTTGAAAGCGCAAAAAAAACACAACCACAGCAGAAGACAAGGCACAGATTGCCTCTGACCACTGATTTAGTCGAAGAACTATACGCACATATATATCCTTCTCAGAACCTGAGTAGAAAATATGTTCGCATATACGGTGGTCACATAACAAACGCTCAAGGAACGTTTTACTCGGATTTATGCAGTACTACGGAAGGGCCGCCTATGCACATGCCGCCTGTTTCGCCGATATAAAATTCTTTCATTTGTTCTCTGGTTGTTCCATTTTCGCTTCTGGCGATTACCCACACGTCAGGAAAGCGTGGTGTACAAGAGCGTGAAGGGCGACTTCCTATATGATTAGGTTGGTTTGGGCCCTCTTTATCCTGCACAATACTTCATTATGTTTACTGAGAATACGTTATCGGATCACCATTGTTGTGAACATTCTTTTTGAGCAGCCCCGGAGAAGGATGTATAGAAGGTACTTGTATTTTTGTAAAGAAGCATCACAGAGTCACAGACTGAGTGCAAGAAGAAGATCACAGACAGGATTCAAAAAGAAGGCACGCCGGTAAAGGGGAGACAGAAAGTTAGGTGGGGAGATGAGATTGGGAAGTTTGCGGATATACAGTGGCAGCAGCATGCACAGGACCGAGATGTCTGCTGGAAGATGGGAGAGGCCTTTGCCCTGCAGTGGGCGAAGTCAGGTTATTGATGATGACTTTTTCTTAATTTAAATAATTTCTTAGTGGCACTCTTTTCTATGTCTCGTCGTGTGATTGTGCTTTTTGCTTCTTAAAACCAATTAAAAACGTAGACCAACTAAAAAAAGACGCAGTTTTCTTAACTCTTTCAAGCGCGGATCGCTGTTTACGACCAAAAAACTACGTTATTAAAAACAAAACGGTGAAATCCATTGCAGAAAGAGATTTTATCACAAGAAGTAAAAAAATAGCTATTTTAGTTCAAAAGATAAAAGGTGGTCACCAGAGCTGACCACCGCGCAGTAAGGATCTACTGGTCGCTTTTGGTAAAACTACAGCTCTTCGTTTTTATAGTTCTTAGCCTCAGCTACTCATAAAAAACCTGTTTTATAGTACACACTACGATCATAGTAGCACATACTATAAACACGTAGGAACAGCACGTACTTAGATATAAATATATATATATATATATATATATCTCGGATCCATCGTCTAGCACGCCTTGATGACTACGGCAGGCGAGAGAAAAAACGCCAGGTCTACGCGGAAGGCGCAACACAGTCACAGCAAAAGCTAGAAGAGCGGCCTTTCAGAGCCTTCCCAAAACACTCATCAAGTAACTACTGTAAGCGCACTTGCTTGATACCCACTATGGCATTAATGAGAAATTTTTTCGGTAGTAGGCGGCCATTCGCAATGCAATATTTCGCGATTCTTCTGAGAAGCATCGTATCCTCTAAGCACTTGCAAGGAACTTCGTGCCAATTGTTCATGCAGTGGCTAACAACGATAAGGAAGTATGTCATAAATATTTGTGCACCACAGTTAATAGGTGATCAAGAACAAGCTTTTGTGATGGGTTGGAGTATGGGACGGCCCACTCGTTACGCTATTCGCATTGAGCGACGACTGATTGTTCTTTCACTTTTTTAAAATGCTTCATAAGTTGTATTAACGCATTGACTTCCCGCCGTCAAGCCTGGCTAAGGCAAATTGGCTAACAAGTCACAAGCACCGGCGTAACTCAATGGTAGAATACTGGGCTGGCACCCAGCAGACCC